TTTATGGCAGTGATTTTGTTTCTGGCATTCAGTTCAGATTTCAGTATCATCCTTAATCTTCCATTATATTCCTTCTTCAGTTTATCTTTCATTTGTAGATGTTGTATGCCGTCTCCTTCCTCAATTCCTAAGTATTTGTATGTTTTCCCTTGTTCAAGCTGTTGTATTTCTGTGTCCATATCAATTAACAGATTTTCTGATTCAGCAAATTTTCCTTTTTTATAAACAACCTTTGCACATTTGTCCAGTCCAAATTTCATTCCAATATCCTTACTGAATGTCCTAACTGTACGTAGTTGTTTCTGAAGTTCAGTCTCTTATTTGCATATCAGTTTTAAGTCGTCCATGTAGATCATGTTTTAGTCTCATATTCTTCATATCCTATATTCATTCGGTTGAGCTCTGCTGTAAGTTTGATTAAACTAATACAAAATAATAATGGTGAGAGCGAATCACCTTGAAATATTCCACAATTTACTCTGATATCTGTTGTTTCGGTTATTTTAATTCCTTCGAAGAAAGGGTCGATTGTATTAAGTGAGAGCCTTGGGGGACCCATGTGTGCTCTCTCGGAGGAATGAAACTAGTGAGCCAGCGGGAATAGCAGAGAGTATCTTCAAGGAAGGTTGTCAGAAACTTGTATAAGTGTGTTTTAAAGAAGCCATGTAATAAAGGCACACTTAAATTTCCAGTCAATTGCTATCTCTTCATTGCACATTCGATCCCCGTTAACGACCCTGAGTACCCGAGCTAGCTGGAGCAAGAACCGAAGAAGGTGGACGTTATAGGTTAGGTTAGGTTTAAGCTAATACTAAAAATGTGTTATATAAAATCTGTTGTGAATGGGCGTTAAAGAGTAAGGTTTAAATGAAATGACAAATTATTTATCGTATTAACATATATAAATTGTCGCTATAACCTGAAACTTACTATAGGTTATTACAACCGGATGGAAAATCTTTTTACTATAAAAATTTGTGATTAGTCGTTGTCTTCAAAAAATGACGTCATCAACAATGCCAACAGATATTTGTTTACTCGGCATTGTTGTGGAACACAACAATGCCTTGCAAACAAATATCTGTTGGCATTGTTGAAGTTGACACAACAATGCCGAGTAAACAAATAACGCTTCACAACAAAAGAAATCAAAGAATATCAAGTCAGTCGCATTATCACTGCTCCAGAAACAGCACGTCGCATTCTTAAGAATTGACTGACAGTTGTCCTAAAACATCAGGAAAGTGAAAGAAGAAGTTATCAAGTATTTGGAGTACCAACTCCAACAAGGTAAAGTGATACTCATTCGATATATTACGATGATGAAAACTATTATAAAAAGAACTGTTGGCCTCTGATCAGCGACGTAAACAGCGACGTAAAGAACTAAAACATCAGAACTATTCAACAAAAAACAGAAGAGAAAAAAAGAAGACTTGCAAGGGTGGGTTTGGACGTAGAAAGTTGACTAACCAAGAACTGTTGGCCTCTGATCAGCGACGTAAAGAAGTAAAATATCAGATTACAGGAAGCGCTCCGAAAAGATTAGCCATCGTTGTCGTCAAAAAATGACGTCATCAACAATATCACCTTATATTTGTTTATACACGGGGGTTAGTTTATTGTCTTACTTAAGATTTTAAAACACAACCAAACCACTTCGGGAGGTTGGTCAAGTGTTTAAACACCCCATTCGTTGTGGTTAATTTAGTTTCTTACTCTGTGGTTAAAACACTTGAATGAGACACTAAACTAACACCTCTTCGGGACTAACCAAGGTTGGTTGCGTTTTACAAACTTGACCAACCCCCCCTAGGAGCTCCGAAAGGAGCGCCCTGCTCTAGTGTTTTAAAATTGCAGATATGTACCTAATTAAATTTAAAGAAAAGAATTTTCCGTTATTAGTAAATCTTCAATAATTTAAGTGTCTTCGTATTGAATGCATTTTTTGCCTGGTTAGTTCTGCAGCCTCCCTCTCTCTTGCTTCGCCCGTCCTTAGTGATCTTACTCCCCACCGACTTCCTCTGTCATCTGATTGTTTACAGATATTGTACTCTTCCCCATAATCTCTTCCATCTTAATCAGAATATTTGTGAGGTCTTGTTCACTCCCTGCCAATATTGCGATGTCGTCTGCAAATCAGAGCATGTCTATCGTTGGTATGGATCTTACACATCTTCGTTACGCTGTTTATGCCGAATGAACCTTTCAGATAGACGTAGAAGTATTTTCCGTTATTAGTAAATCTTCAAAAATTTAAGTGGTGTGTGTCTGTAAATAAACTTACATATTTATTACATTAGCGTCTTTCTCTTTCATTCAAGCAGGCTCTTCAAGGTTACGATTAACCAGGATTATATATACAACCTACCCAGATAATCGGAAGTCAACTGTAATTATAGCCTTGAGATGCAAAACAAAATTTAATTCGCTTCCGATCCAAAACATTTCAAAGCTGTAAATATATTTAACTCATTATTTGTACATCTCAATTGTTCAAACACTTCGTTTTCATTTCATTGTTGCAGCGTGTTGATACATTATTTACATTGTTAGAAGTTTACTGACGTCATCAACAAAACTCCCCCAACACAGACGTGAAATAAACAGAACGGAGCGGAACAGAGAACAGTCAGCAACGAACAATTTGAAAGAGAACATAATTTTATAAGGTAAGTGGCAAGTGGCCTCCTGACTAAAACTTTGTTTGCATCTTTCATCTGCAAAATTATTACAGCTCAACTCGCAGCTAATGGTGTGGCTCACATATTAAGTGTAGAGAATTATTCTTCGTTATGATCCGTACAATCTCGTCTTTTAACCTTTCAGATGGAAAATAACTTCACAGTTGATACGAACAGCACCGAAATCGTCAAAACTCTAGAAGTTGTACTCGGATTCGCACTTTGCATTCTATTTGTCACATATTGCTTTATGCGAACTATTTATGAGCGATATCAGTAAGTACACTTGCATACAGCTTCGAACATTAATGATTTTAAGCAGACGTTTAGAATTCCGAGAATATTTTGATAAGGAACTGAGAAAAGTACGATTTTTCATATTTTGCAATAAGAAAATGTCTAAATTAAAAGTCATAAAATTCGCTACAAGAAATCTGAACAACCTCCCGAAGTATTAATATAACACCCAGGTGGCGTATCCATAATCTGGATTTTGCATGCAACACCGAAACGTCAGTCAACTTCTAAAGACTTTTACATCGAATGTCAAAGACGGCTGAAAAATATCTGTTCAAAAATCGGCTATATGACATTAATTTTAAGCTTGAAATGCAAATGCCTATAATTTAGTACAAGGTTTTGTAGCTTCTAAACGTTTCGGTTTTATAACTTTAAAATTAACATTTTTAATGCGTCCTTAGTCCAATTGGTTGCCTGACATAAGGAAGAGTCGCAGGAGCCAAGAGGTCACCTCATCACCCATGCACAATAATCTCCTTTATCTCTGTGACCTCAATCTGTGTTACAGGTCTACTCATGAATCACCACATAATTCGACACTGAGTACGATAAGTGCAGTTTCCAGCACAGAAATCACCAACAATTCCACACGTGTACAACAACTACCACCCGTTCCAATCTTAATACTAAAGGTCATTGTATTCATTTTGTGGTATCTAATTTTGATGCATCTAGAGTTATTGATATTGCATTCAGCCCGAAATAAGTAAGTACACTTGCATACTCTTTGAAATATTTATGATAGTAAGCAGACGTTTTGAATTCCGAGAATATTTCGCTAAGTAACACAGAAAATTACAATTTTTTATATTTTACGATAAGAAAACGTCTAAATTTAAAGACTAATAACATTCACTACGTAAAATTTGGAGCAGCCCACAAAGGATTATTGTAACAGCCAGGTGGTGTAACTATTATCTGGATTTAGCACGCAACTCCGAAACGTCAGTCAACTTCTAAAGACTTTTACATCGAATGTCAAAGACGGCTGAAAAATATCTGTTCAAAAATCGGCTATATGACATTAATTTTAAGCTTGAAATGCAAATGCCTATAATTTAGTACAAGGTTTTGTAGCTTCTAAACGTTTCGGTTTTATAACTTTAAAATTAACATTTTTAATGCGTCCTTAGTCCAATTGGTTGCCTGACATAAGGAAGAGTCGCAGGAGCCAAGAGGTCACCCCATCATCCACTTACAAAAATCTCCTTTATCTCTGTGACCTCAATCTGTGTTACAGGTTTACTCATGAATCACCACATAATTCGACACTGAGTACGATAAGTGCAGATTCCAACACAGAAATCACCAACAATTCCACACGTGTACAAGAATTCCTACCATTTATCGCACTCATCTTGAGTAATCTCATTGTGATTTCAGTAATTGTGTTATATGACGTGTTATTAAAAATATATATACAGCGAAAAGAGTAAGTACAGTTGCATATTGATTCGAATATTTATAATGGTAAGCAGACGTTTTGAATTCCTAGAATATTTGGCTAAGTAACACAGAAAATTACAATTTTTTATATGTTACGATAAGAAGGCGTCTAAATTTAAAGACTAATAAAATTCACTACGTAGAATTTGTAGCAGTCCACAAAGGATTATTGTAGTAACCACGTGGCGTAACTATTATCTGGATTTAACACGGAATTCCGAAACGTCTGTCAACTTCCATAGACTGAAAGAACGAATCTCAATTACGGCTGAAAAATATCTGTTCAAAAATCGGCTATATGACATTAATTTTAGGTCTGAAATGCAAATTCCTTTTAATACAAGGTTTTGTAGCGTCTAAATGTTTTAACATTTTTAATGCGTCCTTAGTCCAATTGGTTTCCTGACATAAGGAAGAGTCGCAGGAGCCAAGAGGTCACCCCATCATCCACTTACAAAAATCTCCTTTATCTCTGTGACCTCAATCTGTGTTACAGGTTTACTCATGAATCACCACATAATTCGACACTGAGTACGATAAGTGCAGATTCCAACAGACGCGCAGAAGAAAAAGAATGAAGAAGAATTTGTATTATTCTAATGGCATTGCTAAATAGTTTGATTAAGAAATTGCTTATTTAACTTGAGGCTAAGATGGGTCTGTGGTAGCTGAAATATGTTATAAAATTTGTGCACTTTAGAGTATCAAACACCATATCTATGCAAGATTTTTATCTAGTAGAACTACAACGAGGATTTTACATCAACATTAAGCCAAACGTTTTCTGCATTAATGTGACAAAGCTTTGATTTTCCTCCTTCTTTAAATCAATGTTAAAATCTATGGGCATTGTGTTACGACCTCCTGTGGCCATAATTGAAAACATCTCTGTAATTTTTAGAGCAGTATAACAGATTTCTTAATAAATCTTATATAAGATAAGTAATTGTGATATTGTAAAACGTTTTTAACATCGCAATATTATCTACTCTACGTCTCACTTCTACAAGCGATTCACAGCAGAGCTCTTTCCGCAATAACGAAAGCGGATTGTTGACGGAAGTAATGTAACACAACAATGCCGAGTAAAGAGATGACGTAATAATTAGTTTCTTAGGTAACACAACAATGCACGCAGGAGTTCATATAAAAGCTGACCATTGTCGGTCCATATTTACACATTGTTGGTATGGATCTTAACACATTTTCGTTACGCTGTTTTTGCCGAATGACCCTTCCGTGTAGACGTATTTACGTCAAAAATCTTTCTGCCTCAGTACACCGCTCCCCGGATATACCGCGAGCTGTACTGCCTGACGCTGCCGGAGGAAATAATTTCCGAGAAAAATATTCACGTTCTTTTGCAAACCTTGCACTGCGGGAGGCTTCCCCACTCAAATGACCCAGTGTTTGCGAGAGAGGAAGGAGGCGGGGGTTCTCGGAAATCCCAGGGCCCTTTACCCTCCAGCCGAGTTAAGAAGCAAAAGGAATGTTTATCGAACAAAAAAATTCCCGTTCGGTTCGAGTTTTATTCTTGCGATGTTATCCTGTCCTGTCGCGCGATTTCCTTACCTCCTCCAACACAAATGATCGGTTTCCCCGAAAATGAGTCAGATCGGAGCAGTGCAATTTGCTGTACTTTGTGATATACGGGCAGTCAGAGATACCCTCGAGGAACGGGAACTCCCAGAGATGTGATCGACCAGTGGGTCGATATTGACAAAGCTGTCATTAACTGACGAAAACATTGTAAATATCACAAATATGGTCGGATTTCACTCGCGAATATATTCGGAGTCCGTTCGGAGCGAGAATCGATGAATTGGAAAGAATTTGTAGGCATCGGTTATAACGATGGGTCAAAATCCGTCCCCCGAAAACCAGAGTATGATCGGGGAGCGGTGTAACTGGTTTTCTTGAAAAGAATACGTTACACGTGACAGGCTGTTGATAATTCACATTTGTCGCCTGCTGCACATACGACAAAGCATATCCTTCGTAAGGAAATTAATTTGGATAATGATTTATAACCTATAAAACTAAAAACTTAGCCATTCTTTGTAACGCAGATGAGGCGTACACACGGACAAAAATTTAAGAGTGTAATTAACCATCTGACGTCTTCCTCGTGGCTTGTTTCGCCTCGAGACGCCAATATAAGATCGGTTGGAAATCAGCAAGTTTAAAAAATCGTGAAAAAATCATCAACCCCCGATTCCCACAAATGAACAAGTGAGTTTCAGATAATTAAAATGTCACAGCCGTTAAAAAGGCGATCAGGTTCAATGCATTTACATTAAGGTATTCCAGAAAAATTTAAGCTTAAATGAAAAATTTGCTTTACTTACCTAAGCATCAAAATCTCGTTCTTTAAACAAGTGACTTAGTCGTGAGTTCATCACATTACCAACAATATTTTTTTTCAAGAGTTGTCGCAAGCCGTGATTACAATCGACCGAGAACAAGCAAACAGGATCTGCTTCCGGAAAAACATTTTTTTAAAAACCGAGACGCAAAAGGTTGCTGCAGGTTAAAACTGTCATAACAAAAAGGTTCTTGTACCGTATTAGATTTTTTTACGTGAAAACGTCTTTAAAATCGATGCCGGGTGTGGGGAGGCAATCGCGCCCAAATGAGCGACAGTTTCTGTCGAAGTAATTTCAAACTTCAATAACTCGGCTAAAAATAGACATAGCGCCGCCAT